TTTCCTTTAGTATTTCCATAATTCACTGTCTACTTTCTTGTCTTCACATCTGTGTTTTTCACATTTGTTATTTTTGTTTTGTTCAGTGATGTTGCAGTAGTATCATTTTCTACTGTTTTTCAATACATAATTTTTCAGTGTATAGTGCAGCTAGCTAAGCTGGGCCTAGTCACTATTTATAAGTTAATGGTGGGAAAATGTTTCCAATTTCCAAATAAGAATTAATTTTTTAAGATATCCTTATTATATAAATTGGAAATTGAGGGGCACCTGGGTGGCTAAGTCGTTGAACGTCTGCCTTTGGCTCAGGTCATGATCCCAGGGTCCTGGGCTCGAGCCCCGCATCGGGCTTCCTGCTCGGTGGGAAGCCTGCTTCTCCCTCTCCCACTTCCCCTGCTTGTGTTCCCTCTCTCGCTGTGTCTCTCTCTGTCAAATAAATAAATAAAATCTTAAATAAATAAATTGGAAATTGATTTTTAAGCTTATTCAACTTCAGAATTTTTGCTGATTTAGTAGCTTAGTAGTATACTTCCCTTTATACATATCAATCATTTTGTCATTGACTGTTAGTTTACTAAAATCTTTCCTCCATATTGTTAACGTGTATTGTGAAAAGAATAGTTTATTTTGACTTATTATCTCCTTTTGTTCTAAACCTTTTTACTCTCTGGTTATTTATATACATGCAGTGATGCCAGTACTTACTAGAAATTGTTTCTTTATGCATCTCAGTTTTACCCTTTAGTGTCCCAAATTTTGTGAGGCATTTCTAAGGGATAAAGGATTTCCCATCTTTATTCACCATGTGAGCTGTTTGAGCTGTTCTAGTGACAAATGAATTCTGGGCAGTGAATCGAGAAGGACACAGATGTCAAAGCCATGAATTTATAAATGGTCTGTTAAGAGGGTGCTTTGTCCAATCAGCGCTTTGTTAATTTCACCTATAAGAAGGTATAATTATTCAATTATGCTTCTATGATTTCTACAAAAATCAAATGACAAATGTGTCAGAATGTGAAGGTAAAGGGTTAGTCATGATTCTGGCAGGTGGCCCAAAATCTTAGCCAGCTGTGAGGAGGTGGATATGGAACTAAACTGACCTGTAACACTGATTACAGGTCCTTTATGAATATTCATTCGTCTTACTAACAAAGATAAAAAATAATTTCATTTCTAAATGCTAGCAAATAAAGAAACCATAATTTTCTGTATCTTTGTGAAATATAATTACCTTGAAAAATATACCTCAACACTAGAAAAAGTAAAGTCATATTTCTCTGTTTGTTTCTTCTTACCAAAATATTTTTAAAGTTTTTTAAATTTATTTTAGTAAATTATAGTTTTTCCTTGTGAAAAAGTTATCCTTATTTCTTGGTAATATTACTAGTATGTCATAATGCTTGATACAGAGCCAGAGGTCAGCAAACTTTTTCTACAAAAACCAGACAACAAATATTTTCAGCTTTGTAAGCCCTCCCGTCTCTGTTCCAACTACTCAGCTTTGCCTCTAGAACACAGTGCAGCCATAGACCATAGGTAAATAAATGAGGGTAGCAATGTTCCAGTTAAACTGTTCACAGAAATAGCAGGGGGCTGAATCTGAACCATGGGCCATTGTTTGCCAGCCCCTGATATATGGACTAATGATATTTTAAATTTTTCACTAAGATTTTTAATAATATCTGAAATAAAAGAACTCTGGGCCGTGTTAAGTAACTTGAATGTCTGTGCACTACAAGACTCAGAAGGATATTCAGTTTCCCATAGACTATGGTGTGAATGGCACTCCCCGAAGTAGTACAATATGGTGGCTCTGATAATGACCTCCCTCATCCATTTCTCCCACATCTATATCAGGGGTATCTGTATCTGGCTTGCTGCCTGTTTTTGTAGATAAAGTTTTCTTGGAACATAGCCAAGCTCATTTATTTACATATTGTCTGTGGCTGGTTTCACAATTCTAGCAGCAAAGATAAATAGTTTCAACAAAGACCATATGGCCCACAAAACCAGAAATAGTTACTTTACAGAAAATGTTTGCTGATCCCTGATCTGTACCCTAACTATATTCCTTTTTAAGGATGGAGTTACAGGGCAAAATGTGGGACACTTGTATGATTGCCTTACTAAGTCCAACAAAAGATATATAAAGAAGTTGCCAAATATCTAAAGTTACTTTAGAATTCTGTTTCTGCTTCAGTGTTTCTCATCTAAGGATCTGGTTCAAGAAACTAAACATGCTTTCCTGTAGCTTATGCTCTGCTGGTTCAGCATAGTCAGCAACAAATCAGATACCTTGAAGAATTTGTATTAGTCAGGAATTTAAACACAGTCAAGAGACTTACCGTGTGTATGTGGAAGAGGAGGACTGTAGAAGTAACTCAACGGTCCATGGTAGCCCCGTACCCAGTACTCTAGCCCAGTGCAGCTATCACATGCCTCACATGCCCCCTTAGGGAGGACTTGAGAAACTTCTTATCAGTGGCATAGCACCAAGTAGTTTTTCTGGGTATCTCACACGTCAGGCTTGAAAGGAGCAATTGCTTTAATGCCAACAGATCTTATCATGGGCTTTATTAGGAAGATAAGTTAGTGCTGCTGTCATTGAATAATAAATTCCTAAGGCTGTGGATAGAAACAAAGTTTGGCAGAAGGGGAGGCTCACTTCTCTGCTGTTTAAAGACTAGTTAATCATGGAATTATTTCTTTTGTGCATTTCTTTGGTACATATGTACTTGTTTTCAGTTTATTGATATAAGAAAATGTGATTTCTACTTTAATTCATGAATCCCCTGAATTTTATTTGAAGGACAAAGTTAATTTTGTTATTTATTTGTCAGAAAAATATTTTTTTAGTTTATTTATTTGAGAGAGAGTGCACAGTGAGCGAGAGAGAACACAAGTGGAGGGGGGAAGGGCAGAGGGAGAGAGAGAAGCAGGCTCCCCGATAAGCAGGGAACCTGATGTGGGGCTAGATCCCAGGATCCCTTGTTCCTGACCTGAGCCGAAGGCAGACGCTTAACCAACTGAGCCACCCAGGCACCCCCAATATTATTTTTTTTTTAATTTGGTGCTATACAGACTTTTTACCCTTGTTATTAGAATAGTTTCTTCCTGAATCACTCTATTCTGTCACCTCTCTTAATACTTACTCTCCTGGTTTTCTTCTTGCTTTGGTGGCCCCAGCTTCTCAGCCATTTATTATCAACCTCCTTCCCTTCTACACATCCCTTAAATTCTGGTACTCATTATGTACTCTCCCTAGATGAACTCATGAGCTCCCGTAACTTACATTTCCATTCATATGATTATCATCCCAAATTTATATCTTGAACCCAGATCATCTCTTAAATTTCAGTCCTGTTTATTCAGCTGCTTATTGGATATTTTTACCCATTTGTCCCATAAGCACTGAACTCTTTTGTTCCTCTTGACTCTGCCCTTATTTATTCTCTAATGTAAGGGTTAATACCAAGATCTGCCCCACTGCGGAAGCTAAAAACTTGTCCGTGACTCTTCCCTCTTCATTACCTCCACAGCCAGCCAATCCTGTGAGTTCTTCCTCCTAACTATCCCTTGAACAATGTGGGAGTTAGGGGCATCACCTGCCCCACCCCCTATGTGGTCAAAAATCTATAACTTTTAACCCCCCCCCCCCCCAAACTTAACTACTAATAGCCTACTGTTGACTGGGAGCCTTACCAATAACATAAACAGTTGATTAACACGTTTTGTATGTTATATGTATTATATACTGTATTCTTACAATAAAGTAAGCTAGAGAAAAAAATGTTATTAATAAAATCATAAGGGAAAATACATTTACAGTACTGTACTGTATTTTTTTTAAAAAATCCATATATAAATGGACCCGTGTTGTTCAAGGGTCAGCTGTTTATATCTCCCCCTTCCATTCCCACAGCCATTGCTCTACTGCAAATCACCTGGGTTATTACAAGTATCTCTTGTTTAGTCTTTGTCTTAATCTTGCATCTTCCCATTCATTCTCCACATTGTACTCCATCTGGCTTTTCCAAAACCAAAATCTGATCAGGTTGTGACCCTATGTAAAATTGTTCACAGGCTTGTCATTATTCTTAGAATAAAATCCAGTTTACTAGCATGGTTTATCCAGCCATGTTTTCTTTGCTCCCTGCTTACCTTTATAGTCTTATATCTCACTCTCTTAAATTGGAGTGTATATTAATTGTGACCCCATACGCACACTGCTCACTCTGCCTAGAAATTCCCTCCCCACTCCTAATTTATGTGGCCTTCAGTTCTTATATAATAACCCGCACCCCTGGGGCACCTGGGTGGCTCAGTCATTAAGCGTCTGCCTTCAGCTCAGGTCATGATCCCGGAGTCCTGGGATCTGGCCCCGCATTGGGCTCCCTGCTCCGCGGGAGGCCTGCTTCTCCCTCTCCCACTCCCCCTACTTGTGTTCCCTCTCTCGCTGTGTCTCTCTCTGTCAAATAAATAAATAAAATCTTAAAAAAAAAAAAAATACCTGCACCCCTGCTATAGCCAAATCTGAATTAGCTGTTTTTGCTGTGAGCTCCCTCAGTACCTTATACCTCCCCTTTCTTAGTATTTATTACATCACCAATAATTGCCCTTTTTTAAATGATTTGTCTCTTTCTACATGTTTCAGAGTAATGTGTAAAGATTTAGTATCTTTTTAAAGTTAGCATATTGTAAGTTTAACAAATACGTTCATTTCCGGTTTATTCAATTATGCTCTCTTGCTTTAATTATTTTAATAACCCATCATTGAAATCCTTATTTTAATCTTGCCATCACTGTAATGGAAATCTTTTTTTTAAAGATAGGACTTGGTTATTTTCCCTGACCTATACCTCCATTAATCCCCCACTACTAGTAATCAATTGCTAGTAATTCATACTGATGATTTGGGGATTTATATTTAGCCTTTAAAAAAGTATATTTTGCCACAAACGGAGATAATGATAAATTGTTGGGTATTTTATCTGTTACAGTCTACCCTGATATTTGCACTATCAGCCTTGTGGCAGTAAGTGATATGAATAAGCATGCTGATAGAATTGCTTTTTGGGATAATGTTTATGGCTTCAACATGTCCTGTATGAAGAAAGCAGTTATTCCAGAAGCTGTTGTGGAAGTTTTAGATCCGAAGACTCTTATTTCAGATGCTTGTAGTATTAAGGTAGGTGTTTTTACCAGTTTTATTTTAACAGAATTGCCATTTTTATTAGTTTTCATTTATGAGTTCAGTATTTGAAATTAACATATTGATATTATATATGGGCTTTCAAAACAGTGATTATTCTTCCTATATTAACCAGGCTAATGTACCTTGAGGTTACAGTATTTACCAGTTGACTATATCATCCTTTGGAATCACTTATCTGTATATTGCAGTTCCTTATACTGAGAGGCTTGAAGGCGAAAAGTCCTGCTGTATTATCATTTCTGCTTCATCACCACCTCCCTGGCCTTGTTCTAGTTTCTCATTTACAGCCAGATTATTCATTCATATCATATATTCTACACAGTTTAACATCTCACATTCAAATTTCTTCCACCTTTTCAAATTAAGTAATTACAGTGAATTTGCCTATGAAACTAAAGCCCTACTCTGTTCAGATTTCTCAGTTAATTCCTTTTGTGTTTTAAAATCTTATTGTTGGGGTGCCTGGGTGGCTCAGTTTTTAAGCATCTGCCTTCGGCTCAGCTCTTGATCCCAGGGTTCTGGGATCGAGCCCTGCATCAGGCTCCCTGCTGCGCGGGAAGCCTGCTTCTCCCTCCCCCACTCCCCCTGCTTATGTTCCCTCTCTCGCTGTGTCTCTCTCTCTGTCAATAAATAAATAAAATCTTTTAAAATATTAAAAAAATAAATAAAATCTTAACTGTTCACCATGCCAATCTCTAGTTTTATTGTGAATTTTGCTGTGTCATATTTACATAGGTTAAATAATAACTTTGCAGTGAAAAGTCATTGCTTTTCTTAAAAAGTCCTTAATTTGTCTGTTTTAATTAGATAAATTTAGTTTGTTCAGTTTTAGGTTCAGAACACTGTCTGCTTTTTGTAGTCATACTTTCATAGCATCAATAATTGTTCCCTGCATAAAATGGATATTCAATAAATATTTGTTAATTTTCTTAATAGATAAAAAATATTTAAAGTTGGCATAGAATAATAAACTTAAAAAGTTTCTCAACAAGAGCAAGCTGATTAAAATTGCATTTAGCTTCTAAGAAAAAACTATAGCCTGGTTAATGATTATAGTACTGTTGAGGGCTCTGGTACACTGATAGTAAGAGATTTATTTGTATTCTTTGATTATGGGTAGGAGTGTGCAGTTCAGTCAACTCAGCCTCAAGGCTATGCAAAAAGAGGAGGGTAGTGGGGGAAGGGGCTAATTTTTCTCTCTAGTGCTCTTTGTTTAATGCCAAAAACTGCTATGAAGAAATAGTTGAAATAGAAAATTTTAGACTGATAACAAAGGTGTTTAAAAAGTACACATACCCTTTCTCTTTTTTTTAAACATTAATCAATGTTTATTTACTTGTTTGTTTAGGTAAATATATTTTGTTCCACGTTCCACAATCCTCTACAAATAGAAGGCAACCACACTATAACTTCTTTAAAATTTTCTCAAGCTATTTAAAAGAGGGTAGTGGCTCAGGTATATAGTCCTGTGAATTGTGTATGCTATGTCATAATCTACTCATGGCCTCCCTCTCGTCCCACTGCCATGGTCTGTCCCCATCTGCTCTCCATAGTGAAGTGAAGAAGGACTTGAACCAAGGCAGTAAGGAAAATAAGGCTCTTTGGCCATTGTTTTCCTGAGTTAAATCTTCTTCCTTGGTTTGGCTCTTTGATTTTATCCGTTACAGTTTTTCCTAATATCTAACAAACTTTTCTTCAAATGCAATTACAAAAAGGAATCCTAAAACACCTTATCCTTTTCATTAGCCTATGTTTTCAAGTTGGCATTTCCTATAAAAATGTTGACTCTTACCATGCATAATTTATAGCAAATGTGTACCACTGGTAGTATACAAAATGATTTTAGTTGGAAAACAAGAAAAGAATTTTATTTGAAAATATTTTAGTGTATCTTAGAAAAACGTTAACTAGCACATCAGAGCCATGATTTGATATATAGTGTTCTTACAAGAAGTCTAAGTAAAAAAATACTAATTTGGTTTATACAGAAATTAACTAAATGATAGTGCTAGTAGCCTTTAAATTTGAAAACAACTCCAGAAGTGAGGTTTGAATGATTAAACTTTGCAAAACATTGGTTTACTGCATTAAAAAGGATATTTATCTGTTTGATTTTGGTTTTGTTTTCACTATTTTTACTAACTTCTTCCTTCCACTCTTTTTTAATGGGTAGCAAATAGATTGCCATACAACATCTGTCTCAGCTTTGGAATTTTCTTCGAATTTTACCCTGCAAATTACAAAGACATCCATGTGCACGGTAAGCTGTTTCATCTCCTTTCACAAATCTCACTAGCAGTGTAGTTGATTGGCAGGCTAATGAATTAATTACCAGACTGTGATAAATGAAAAAGACTATTGCCCTCGACAGTCTATCTTTGCCTTTGTTAGGCTATTGAACGGATCTGTTTTGATAGGTCAGTAGACTTCAAAAAAGTTGGTTTAGTTGAGAAGAGAAAGTAATAGGACACCATATTTGCACAATGATTTTTCTTTATAGAGTCTTCCTTATTGCCTCTCATGTAACTAATTGAAAGCACTCATCTTTATCTTAATAGACAAGTTCATGTCCTACACCTCCTAACAGCTCTTCACACTCAATGTAGATGGAAGTAAAATATGTTTATTTGGTATAGTATTTTATATTCCTGTGTAAAATATAATAAATGATGATATACCTTTCTTTAAAGAAGCATCCTGGTGTAATGGGCATTAGAAAAGTTAGTATGGATTCACATTTGGTTCTGCCACTCACTAGCTTGTTACTGTGCTCAAGTTACCTAGGTAATCTGTACCTCAGACTAAACAACTGCTTTCAGAAAAATGGTAATAATTTCTATCTTGTAGACTAGTTACACAGGTTAATGAATTAATATATGTGGAAGCACCTACGAAGTAGCCAGAAATGCTAGGTTATTAAAATATATTAATTTTTTTCTTTCTTAAATAATTTCTAAATATATATTAATACTAAGATAACAATATTTTTTACCAGAAGACTCAGAATGTTAATAAAATGTGGGCCTTTACTTAAAGTATGAATTTACATAGGTGGTAGTGATATAAATATTTATATTATTTTGAAAAATTAATTGTATAGTTTTTGAAATACTAATTATACCTTAAAAATTAAAATTTTACTGAAAACTGTATGGTCAGTAACTGTGTGAAACAGGTTATGGTCATGTTGACTTTGACTCTTGAACCTGATTTTTTAAAAGATAGACATACAAAAGATTTTATGGCTTCTTAAAAATTGTTTCCGTTCATTTTGATCCAATAATTATTTTCTATCCATGTGAGTTTAACAGTGTGCTTTGATGTTTTGAGGAATTCTTTTCATTGAAATTGGTTTTACAGTTTTTAAAAGGTAAATATCTAGATCCCAGATTTATTATTTCAGGGCACCCATTATATTTGTTTAACTGATAAAAACAAAATTTCATTCTTCCCCGATTTCTCCCAGATTTCTCCCAGATTTTCCAGTTGTCCTTTATAGTAACTGAAATGATTTGGTCAATTGAAATTACAGGCTAAAGGTTTTAACTCTTAGATTTGCTCTGTGTTTGATGTTAGTAATCCTTGAGAATTAAAAAAGACCTCTTGATTAATGACAGTTGATCAATCTATAAGGGAATTCTTAGATAGAAATTGCCGGATGACCAGTATTATTAAATAATATTATTTCAAATCTTCTTTCAGTGCCCTTCACATGAATCAAAGTAGAGCAAATGTAAAACTGTAGTCAAGACCTGAAAAACTGTTTGTTTTTAGTTGTGCATATTTTTTAGCCTTATGTAGACAGAGGAGTTTACTGAGTTTTTTTGAAATGTTCTTTATTTTTTGGGTTATTGGTCAGGGTTCTTAGTTTCAGACTACAAAGTCCAAATCAGCTTCTTAAAGCAAAAGGTGATTTACTGAAGAGTTAAGTAACATAATTCCAGACACATTGGGAGAGCTAAAGGAATAGCCAAAATACTCGTAAACCGCATCTTAGAACTAGCCTGCTACAAAGCAGGCTGCACTGCTGTAGCCCCCGTAAACCCTAGAGCCCTTGGCCCTCTCAGTAAATGGGAGGCCCCACTGACCTCCCCAGATGAGCAGAACTCTTCACTGCCATCCTGTTCCTATCCCCCCTGCCCAAGTCATGCTGTTCAGGTCCTCTGTACAGATCTTCATTCAGCACCTCTGGCTGCACATAGGTCAGGTTGTACACTAGCGATTAAAAAGTCTTAGGAGGTGGTTTTAGCTGCAGTAGTGTTATGCTACAAAAGAGTTTCACAATGCATATACAGAATTATTTTCTATTCTTTTTATTTGACATAGAGTACAAGAAGCTTTATGTTGAAATAAATTATACTTATCCTTTAATGATCTTGGTTTTATTCTGTATATTTAAAAGAATAAAATAGAAATAAAACACAAAAAAGCTGGTAAACTAAAACTAATGATGTAATAATGTATGGTGATTAACATAACAATAAAAATTTTTTAAAAAGCTGGTAAAGTCTGTTTAACACAAAAATTATAATAGAAATTTTTGTATTAAAGAACAAATCAAATAGGTACTTGCTGCATTTGTTCCTGTACAGAGTTCCATAAGAGAAATAAATCAAAAAGAAACTGTTATATTACCTTATATCTGTAAAGAGCCTTTTAGATTTATATTTTTTTCCCAACATGCCTGAATGATTTTAATATAGAAGTCTGGAAATGAGGTAGGTCTGGGGTTTAGGTAGAAGGTGGCTGAAGATTGAGTGGACTTGTGTATGTCTGATCACTGCTGAAAAATGTACTTCTGTAACTCACCTTTGAGAGGAATGTATAGTTTCAAACCATATTTATTGGATGCACACCAGGTACTGAACATAAAATTTTAGTACTTATTCAGTGTTAACCCTTCTGAGACTATTCTGTCAAATAATTTGTCAATATAAATTGTCTTGGTGATAATGTCTAAGTCATTGAACACTTGCATGCCAGACAATGTGCTAATCACTTTAAAATCATTATTTCATTTAGTCCTCTTAATAACCATTTGAAGCAGGTACTAACATTCCCATTTTTGGGGGGGGTGAAGAAAAATAAATCACTATGTCTTACTTGTGAAATATCCTGACCCCCCAAAAAACTCTGGTGGGATTGTACAAACTATTAAAGGAAGATACAGAAACTTATGAATGAGATATTCAAGGTGTGGAAGAAAGGAGGTAGCCTGTTGCATTTGAAATAGATCTGAAAAATCTAAAACATGTTGCATATGAAACAGGTCTGAATAATGTGATTCTCAGCCAATAGTCTAGCAGTTTTTGGTAGGGAGAGAGAGAGTATGATCAAAATGCACTCTTTCTCAGAGATAGGGGTGACAAATTTATATGATAAAATAAGTCACATATCCCATCCTCTTTGCTGCAAAGAAAAAGTAGATCTTCGAAATTTTTTTTCTTCACATTTTCAGAGTATATTTATCGTTATTTGGTTTTAGGAACTTTCTTTCCTTCCCAGCATGCTTACCCTAACGTGAGCCTGGCATGAGTTAAGGTTTTGTGGCCTGTAATGCCTTTATTACAGTTTCATTATTTGTGAATCCCAACTATCCATCCATATCTACTCCCAACTATCTTTTGCTCTTTGAGGTGGTGCCAAGTCTTTACACTCTTCTGCTACCAACCATCTGGAGCTATTATGCAAACCTAGTCTCTAAAGCTACTTTTGAATAGATAGATTATTCGCCTGGTTACTTGGGAATAATCCACAACAAAGGTATTAAAAAGGATGAGTGCCTAATTGGAACTTTGTTTCTCCTTTATATTGTAAGAAGAATTAGTGAAAATACTAAAAATAAAAATAATTTTAAAAAAGCAATGCGTGTCAAAGAGATGGAAAAAGTTACTTTGGGGAAGAAGATGTATGGCTTCTAGATAGAGTAAAGAAAAAAGTATTTGCTTTTGTACTGCTGAGTACAAACCTTCAAATATATTAAATACTTTCTTCCTTGTGCTTAAAACTTGAATGCATAGTCAAAAAGTAAGATGGATGATTTCTCTGAGTAGTTAAGCCCATTTTAAATATATGCACAACCATTTATTTCTAATGAGATTCTAAATTTGTAGCCTAATTAAAATATTAGAGGAAATTGGATTTTTCAAAGTAACAAGATGCTAAGAACACCCCCTTTGCATTTAATTTCAAAAGCATGTGTGCTGTAGACTGATAGTGTTTTTAGATGGCTTTCTCAAGTTTCTCAGAACCTTTAATAGAAAACATCTTTTCTTTGCAGTCTTCACCACCAACACACAGGGGTACATACACCACTGAAGAAATTTGATAGCATTTTTAATGTAGTGTTTTGCATTAATAAACTTTTTTATGTTTTGGGGAATTTAACGGGACATAATAATCATATGTAAGAGTCTTGGATCTTGGTTAAAGGATAATTTTCCAATGAATACTTGTAGCGTATACATAGGGATTTTCTGAGCATTTTTTATGTATCATATATTACTGACAGTTTAGGTCAAATTGCCTTTGCTTTTATGATGGGATATGAATTTAGTTAGCACCTGACTGTCTATCACAGTAGCCTGCCTAACCGTGCAGTAAATGAGCAATAAAGTCCATTATTATATGGGAAGTTTATAAGTGTTCAAAAGCAAGTGGTTTAAAGCCATACAATTTAGAACTAATATGTTTTATTTTGTGAGTTCTAGTGTATTTTTAATGTCATTTATGTAATTGTATAATATTCTCCCTTTTTGTTCCAGCAGCATTTATATTGGCATCTGTCTATATAAGCTCCTTAAAGATACAGGCAAGCAGATACATTAAATGACTCTTCATATTGCCTTTTGTGTAACAAATGAGTTGTTTACCTTAAAAAGGAAAATAATATGATTTTATCAGATTACATACATAAATCTTTGACATATAAAGATTTTTATTTGATACATTATCTCTTAGAGCAATCATTTTTATATATTAATTTCAGCATTATATTTTCTTTTATTCTACATCTCTGTTAGCATGCACTGGAACAGTGACTGGTACAACAATGTTCAGTTTGTATAAACTTTCCTTAATATATTTCTAAACCTCATTTAACAAAGAACAACATTTTTCCTAGGCATTTTTCTTTTACTACAGTTGCTAAATTAAAGAAGAGCCACTGGAGTAAATAAAAAAGAGCAGACTTTTTTTTATATTTGTATTTAAAAACCTCTTACAATAAAGTCTTTTGGATTTTATCAAAGTACATTAATA